ATGAACTGGAAAGTACACAAACTCTTAAGAAGGGTTTAACTCCCTTTTTATTCCACTTTAGAAGTTACAGATGCGTTCACTTGACGCTCACAAACTACGCCGACCCGGCGGTTAAATAAAAGTAAGAAAGTACAACTAAAAATGAATAATAACAAGTCACTACGTACGAGGCTCTCTAAACGTGACTAACTTAACCGCGTTCTAAGATACAGCTGAGATTTCAGCAAACTTTCTGAATAAAAAGTTGAAAGATTCAACTAACTGCCGAAGCAAGCACACAGGCCGAAACGCGCGGTTCTTCAATTTCTACCTAGCAACCTTCACGCTCGTGAATCAAGAAAGCACACTTACGAACTTGTTTCCCTTCTATTTAACTCAAAATACTTCTGCTAAAAATTTGAATACTTTGCGCGTTCTACTAAAATTTACATACTCTGGCATTGGCAATTCCAGGGGAAAGTAAAGGCTTGACAGGAAAGATAGCTTAAAATAAATGTTAGTTAAAATAAATATAAATCCTACAGGGGTAAGATCAGGAAATCTGTCTGGCCAGTCCAAGTGGTGAACATTCTCAATTTAAGGGTAATCATCGATCAGCTGAACCCTATGTGGAAGAGCGTTGTTTCATTAGCAGGAATCCAGGGCCAATTGAGCCCCTAAAAACTCGAACATAGGACTGTAAAGTCTCATATCTCATAGCAGTCAAGAAGACTTTGTCAAACATATTCATGGGTGTGTGACCGTCCAATATAATGCCTTCCCAAACCATTACACTTCCACCAACGTGATGATAATTTTTCCTGATGAGGGTGGAATGGCATTGTGTTCCAAGCTATTTCCAGGTGCAGATACGCACAGAATCAGATTTCAGGCTAACTCTCGATTTTTCTTAAAAACCACAGTGCTCCAGTTAAGCCTGCATCAAGGCCCATTTGTATGCACCATGCTAAACGCTATTGTAGAGGTGGTGCAGTGAGGAGGACGCAGACAGTGGGTCATCTGATATACATCTCTAATTCATGAAGTCTTCGCGTAACTGTAGACCGTGAAACTTGGGTTCCAGTGTCAGAATACAGCTAACGTGAGAGCTGTCAAGCTGTAGCAGTCCTGTGTCGCCGCGCTGAAACTGCCAAATAACAATCCCCATTCGTCGTTGTGGACCTTGTTCGATCTTGTCCAGGTCTTCTCGATATCGACCCAGTGTTCTGAAAGTGTTTTCACAAATTGCAGACGACACTGGACGTTACACTGAGCTCTATAGCCATTTGCGCTTGTGAGTGGCCTGCTCCCAAGCTGCCTATGATTCTCCATCTCATTTCATCAATCATACATTAGTGGCTACCAGGGCCGGATTTAGACTTGACAAGGACCTAAGCTAACTGAAATATGGGGCTCTTTATAGGTCCAGAACTATAACTGAGATATGGGGCTCTTTATAATGCAAACTGGTAAAATGGAAAAAAAAAAAAAAACTGAAAGTTTTTAGATTTTATATTACGCACAAGGGACTTTTTTTAAAGTTCTTTTTTTATTAAATATCATGTTCTTTGCACTTAAACCATAAAATTCATTTCAACAGCAATATCACAAAATAATTTTAAAAGGAGCATATCTTTAGAATTTCCTATACACAGTCTCACGCGCTGGAGATAATTTTTTTTTTTTTTTTTTTTTTTCCGTACAATGTTGCTAATGCTCGCTTTGAAATCGTTGACTTTGTTAATAAAAAAATTCGTTAATGTTTTACAAAATATGTAACAGATAATAAAATAAATTCCAAATTCCAAGTTCGGGCTTCCAGATACCTGTATTCTTGTGGAAGACAACTTATTGAAAATTTGATGTATCTAAGTACCGTAGTTTATTCAAATTTGATGTATCTTCGTACCGTTGTTTATTCAAATTTGATGTATCTAAGTACCGTTGTTTATTCGCAGCGCGAGAAACATGCATACATTCATGCAGATTCTTCATCGTTTATTTTTTTAAATATAATGCGGGGCTCTAATATTTGGTGGCAACAATTTGAAAAGTAAACCGAAATTTATAGTGAACCAACGCAAAATGCCAAAACGAAATTAATAGCACTTCAGGGCTACCGCCTTTTGGGCTAAAAAGTTATTTTAAAAGGCGCAATTTACAAAGGCTTATTATCTAAGCTCTTGAAACATGTTATACAGATTAAGGAATTATATTAAACTAAAATAGTTTATTTCTTGCCTTTGTCAGAGCAAAGTCAGTGATCGCATTGTAAGGTATTCTCCCGCCTTCTTAGCATACCTTCGTGGTGTAACGGTGATCACGCTCGGAGCGTATCGAGAATCCGTGGTTCGAGTCCCGGCGAGGGCATTGCTCACTTTTCATCTCTCCTGCTTCGAAATGACCTTGAGGGAACATAAATTATCTTGAGTTGTTTTAAATTCGTTTTTTTATCGCCTTCAGCTGAGAAAAAAATCTGTCTCCAGAGTAAATTGCAACCGTCATACTAAGAAACAATCTCAAAATTGCTTCTGCATTAGGGAATGTTGATTGGACACGATCGTTAAATATTACCTTATACAGATCCTGATGTGTCAGACTATTATGTTCGCCTGAACCATAGAGTTGACTACGTCTAACATACTGATGAGCACCTTTCAAAGCTTTAAACGATTCTTCACACTCATGATATGACGAAATCTTTTGTTTTTTTTTCCTGCTCTGCGATATAAACGCTTTGCAAACTTAGAAAAATATTTAGCAAATCTTTGATACTAAGTGAAGCCTCTTAATTGATGAACGTCTTCAAGGTCACCCAGTCTCAAATAGCCTTGATTTTCTCAAGATCTGTGTCTATATTTTCAGAAATGGTAATATGAGAAAGATAATTAATATTTTGGGAAAATAATTTATATTTCGAAGGATTGATCTTTAAGTTAGCCATCAGTGTTTCTGAAGCACTTTAATATTTATCAAATATTTCTAAAACTTGCGTCTGACTATAACAATGTCGTCGAGAAATACAAGATAGTGTTAATATGGCAATCCCCTTCTCAGAACTGTCTTCATTAGACGTCAAGTATTGATAGAGCGCTGCACAGTAAAAAAGGCATTATATCAAACTGCCAGAGTTCTGGTAAGTATTAAATGCGATCCTCTCATGGTCGTTCATATCCATTTCCACTTGCCAGTAGTTGTTTTTCGAATGCAAAATGGAAACACATTTGCTTTCTGCTAACGTATGCAAGGCAGTGTGAATTCTAAACTAAGAGTTACTGTCTTTCTTTATAATGCCATTCAGAAACCTGAAAACCGCAAAATCGTGTGGAACCGTCTTTCTGCTGAACTAATACTATATGTGAAGCCCAAGTACTACAGGAAGATTCAAATACGTGGTACGTGGTTTGTTACTTATGTTGCCAACTCTGATTGAAATGTTTAATTTCTTGATTTTTCCCATTTCATAAACGCAACTGCAAACAACAGTCGTTTCAAATGTTTATTTTCGTTAGGGAAATCGGAAATCCTATGCATAGCTTCTCGTGAATTTCGCTATATCCCTAATTATGCAGTTTGTTCAAGAGCAACGCACTTCATGTAACTGAAACATTAATTTTTCTACAGTGTAGGTACACAGCTAGTAAATTTTGGCAGCTGAACAAAACTGTATTTCTTTAAAAAGTCAGGTCCAAGGATGCATGGATTCACATACACTAAGTAGTCATTCGCATAGAATGCGAACTTGATGTGTACATTTATTTTACTATGCACTGATATTTTCTTGCCTTTTCGTAGCCTTGCTTCTAGAACAAAGGATGGAGCTGTATACAGAATGCTTTTGATCTCTTGCTTGGCTACGTAAGCTTTTTACATTAGCAATGGTGTCCACAATCATGCGGCAAAGTCTAGAACATCGACTGCTGAGTTTTCTGCATCCACTAATTTATTTCTCTATCCGTAGTACACTGCCTCCGTAAATGTCTTTCACTTCCACTCCTCCAGCCAGCTCCACACCTCGGTTTCTAAGGTATACAGCCTTAGAAACCGAGCCTTAGAAACCCTTAATCGATTCAGCATTCAATCTTGCTTTGGCCGGAAGTGCCTATAGAAAAATTTCCGCTTCACCTCCTAATGCAGTGACCAACAAGAATGGTTGGAGAGTCCTACTAATTTGCTGCCAAATCGTTTCATACTGCGGTCTGTATATACTCCACAATTTCTTCTTTTTTATTCATAGCAATAGCATATATTTTTAGCATATACTACAGCATAGCGTATATTTTTATTCATAGCAAGAAGAGCTAGTTGTTAGTAATTTGTCATTACCTCGTTCATTCACCTCCGTGATTATTTATATTTGGAATATATCTGTTAGTCGACCAAAACCTATTCCAAGTATATGCATTCTAAGCTTTGTGTTATATACAGTTAAAACAGTGGTTGTTCTCAGCCGATATGGTAACACTCCAGTAAATCAGTCGCCTCGCTGTTGGCAAAAAGAAAGAAAGCTATCTGCAGGCATTTAGCGACTAATTTTAACTGATATAGTTCTTTTTGGATATATTGAATAAGCTTTATATTTTCAAACTGCTATGCATTCAAGAAATTTAGATTTTCCTTTTTAGGCATACAATATAATGTTTATACGCCAGAAGGAATGGAATAATTCACAACTGAAAAGTAGGAATGTTACATTATAAATAGATTTAAACCGAAAAGGATAACATTTAAGAAGCAAAATTTTGCAGATTTTTCCTGAATCACTCTATAAAACAAATTAATTGGATTATACCTATTGCACATTTTACTTGCATTAAACAAACACCTGTTTAAATATTCTTGCAGTAACAGGAAAAGAGCAGATCGTTTAACAGCCAGTGATGAAATTCTTTGCTAATGATTTTCAAAGTTACATTATTGTAAACAATACTATTAACAAAAGCAAATACAGTAAAGTAGTCATTAAGTTTCACTATTTCATGGTTTAATACTATAAATATTTTATTTATAATTTTACAGGGTGCTGTGAAACCATTTTCTGAAGTTATCCGAGCAGATGTCAACGATAATCAAGCTATGGGGCAGAAACCAGTCACTTTCATTCGACAAGTAAGTGAAGAGATAAATAATTATATTACTTTAAAAAGCGATATCGAAGACATTTCGATGGGAACAGGAATTTGAATTTATTTTCATCAACATTGTAAGAATACAGTCAGCAGTATTAAAATAATATAGCACCTTTTTCTTACGTATTTCAAAGATCAAGCAGTTTATTAGCTTCCATCTCCATAAAAAAATGAGGTATTTACAGTTAATTTTTAGGTTTGAAGCAATTCATTTGCAGAAAAGAGTTTTCTAAGCAATTTTAGTCCCGCTGTTGCTTTTATTTGTTCCACATTTGTATTCCGTTCTACCGAGGCTACAATGACTTGATTCGATGTAACTCATCTGTCTCAAATTAGGTTTTATATTATACGTAATATAAAGAATTAACGGGAATAATAAGGCATCTCAGAGAAAGGAAATTTTTGATCTTTTGAGAGAAGAGTTTTTTTTTAACAGGCATTCGTTTTCTAAACTTCGAAATGACATTATTTCTCTGTACCACGTGCAACACAAAAGTATGACTATTTAACGCATGGCACTTCCAAGGGTATGATTCTGTGTTGCTGAAAATAATTTATGGAATCTTCTTCCATACATGGGCAAATTATTTCGATCATGTTTTTTGCAACAAATGAAGATGTTGAAATGAACTTCAGCAAAGGTGTTGCTTCAGGCGGGAAACTAAACGTATAGTATAAAAAAATTAAAAGGATTTAATGATGTTGTGTAGCGAATTTAATTTAATTAAGTGGTGGATGTTGTGTAGCGAATTTAATTTAATTAAGTGGTTCATAAAAATCAAAATTTTAATTTGTAATTATTCAAAATTTGAGCTACACTTTGGTTATATTCTTTTTTTTTTGGCTTATTAATTCTAGTGTAATATATTTTGGCTTTCCGAGTTTACGCGAACTGCGTCTTCAATCTTGTACACGCAAACAATGGATTTAGGTGAATTTTTTCACGTAATAAACTCAGTTTTTCATGTCAAAAATTAATTTGATTTCTTAGTATTTAATATCATTAGTTGCAGAAAAATTAGCTCTTTAATTTGACATAACTTTCGTTTTCCCTCTATAACTTTAATTGCATTTCAGTTATGAGCTTTAATTAGTAGATTTTTTTCCGTTTTGCATTGTGATTTCTTTTGTAAAGGGGGATGAAATGCCCTTCTTCCGGTTGAAATTGTCACTTTTTGCGAGTTTCAGCGTTCTTTCGTTGGGACTGGCTTGCAAAGGGTTGTTGAAATTCCTAAGTTTCCCCATTCCACAAGGCGGGGTTATTTTGGCGAGCGGTTTGGCGACATTAGATTTTCCGTTGATGTTTCAAAGTAGTGGATTTGGCGAGTTTGCTAACATGGGGGAATGCTGTTGTTGCAACTATTTTAACTTTTGGCGAAGAGTGGGTAGTGCCAACTTGGCAGTCCGGCGTCCTCCCTTTTAAGGGGTTGTTTTGGACGACGTACACACTTTTCTTGACACGTCTTCTGCTTTTTTTTTAAATTCCTTTTCTGATGCTGTACGCGACGGCAGCAGATTCTGCCGAGGAAATGGTATACCTCCCCGATAGAGCTACGAGCCTCGTGCCTCTGCGCCTTGAGCGCGGGCCCTGGTTTTATTTTATATGTTATGGTCAACTTGTAGAATACCTTTTGGTAACTAAGGAAAATTTAAAGGTAAATTTCAAAAACACCACTCAGCACGCCTTTGATTTTCTAAAAGCTGAACTTCTGAATGAACCCATTTTGGCTTTACCTAATTTTCTTAAACCTTTTTCCTTGTGTACAGATGCTTCTAATTATGCACTGGGTGCTGTCTTGTGTCAGGAAGATTCTGACGGTTTCCAACATCCAATTTGTTATGCTAGTAGAAAATTAAAAGGTCCTGAAACACGTTATAGTACTATAGAGAGGGAAATTTTGGTAGTTGTTTGGGCCACAGCACATTTTAGACAATATCTTCTTGGTAAACCATTTACAGTATATTCTGATCAAGCTTCATTATCTCATGTTTTAAAACTTAAAGATCCCACTTCTAGAATTGCACGTTGGATTATGGGTTTATCCCAGTTTGATTATAAGATTGTTCATAAACCAGGTAGATTAAATTTAACAGCAGACTATTTATCTAGAGCAGTAAATGTTACACAATTAATTCAAACTTCCATTATTGGAATTATTCAAAATTCCAATTGTTGGAATTATTCAAAAAAGAACAAGCTTCTGATCCTTCTTGCCAACAGATCGTAAATGATCTTAAGAATAATAAGTCTCCTACACCTAATTCTGAGATATTTTTTGTAAAGGAAGATGTTTTATATTGCAAATACAAGAAACCCAAGTCACGTTGGCAGAAACAAGATAGACTAGTTGTTCCTAAAACACTAGTATTAAGAATTTTGCAGGAGCATCATGATTCTCCTACTGCTGCACACTCAGGCTATCACAGAACACTTCATAGGGTTCAAAAGTCTTTTTTCTGGAAGGGTATGCATAAACAGGTGCACAATTACATTAAGTCCTGTCACTCCTGTATCCAGAGGAGGGGTCATAGACCTGCTCATAAGGCTCCCCTTATGAGAATGCCTATGGCTACCCGTCCCATTGAGCGAATAGCGATGGATATAGTGGGTCCCCTTCCAGTTACTATGGTAGGCAACAGATATATTTTAGTCGTAACTGACTATTTTTCACGATGGCCTGAAGCTTATCCTTTGCAAGACACCACATCCATATCCATAATTGAGAAATTAGAACAATTTATTTTAACTCATGGTATACCTCAACACATTGTTACAGATAAAGGTACTAATTTTATTTCTCAAGCTATAATGGAAGTTTATAAGAAATTGGGGGCTACTAAACATACTACTACGAGTTATCATCCACAGTCTGATGGTGTAGTAGAAAGATTAAATGAAATGCCACTTTAATTAATTCACTTAGCCACTTAGTTTCTCAAACTCAGGAGGATTGGGATAGACATCTGCCTTTTGCCTTATTGGCACACAGAACTGGTCGTCATAGTGCACTTCAGAAATGTCCAGCTTTTATTTTGTATGGCAGAGATTTGTGCTTACCAATTGATTTATTATTGCAAACCAATTTTAGAACTTATGATGACACAAACAATTATTCTAAAGATTTGGTTTTGAGATTACAAAAGGCTTTTAAATTAGTCAATCAGAATTTAACGAGGCTGCTGATAAGCAAGAAAATTTACGTGGAAAGAATTCTCATGATAAGGACATAAAAGTGGGAGATTTGGTGTATTTATACACTCCAGTAGTTCAGCCAGGTATGGCTAGAAAACTCTCTAAATTGAATCAGGGACCTTTCAGGGTTATTGAGAAAGTGACTAAAGTCAACTATAAAATCTCTTCAATTACAAATCCTGATCGGATTCAGACGATACACGTGGACAGACTCACGAAGGTACCAGAGAGAATTACTTTTCCCACACTTCAAAAGGATGACTCAATTTTGACAGATAATGTAAAGAACTCGTCACACGATTCACCTTACCATCTAAGGCCTAGAGATACACATGGTTTTGTGTCGAAAAAGTGAAATGAAATATTTTGAGAATATAGTGTGTTTTGTATACAATTTTGGTTAAATTATTATTTGTTTCTGGTAATTGTATTCTTGTAGCTAAATTTTATAATCAATTAGTATAGTTGTGTAGTCTTCTTGGCTTATCATTGGTCGAGTGTTGCATTTGGATTTTACATGTTTTGGCATGTGAGGTTGTGATCAAGTTGTCTTGGCTTGGGAACTTTCTAGTCTCAATAGCCCAGGTTGTTTTTTTTTTTTGGAGGTTTTGCTGGGCTGGTCCCCGCTTTTTCTCCTCTTTCTTAAGTTCAAAAACTTTTTTTTTCTCTCTCTTGAAATCCCTTAGCCATGGTAGTCGGGATTTGTTTCGGTTAGAATTTTTGACTAGATAGTTTTCCAGCCAACACTTCGTGGTGATTGTCTTCTGTTCTTCTTAGTGCAACTCGTTTTTAGTTTTCTTATGCCAAGGATTTATTAGTAGTTTAGTCTGCGCTGTACAGTCGCGGTGTTTACTCATTTGCCCTCTCGTATTGGTGGGGTGTCAGTTCTTAGGGAAGTGAAATTCTGTGTGTTAGGGAAAATTAGGATTTATATTATACGGTACACTTTTCCTTAAGCGTACTTTTGAGTTGATATTGTCACTTCAATGGGTGATTGCAAGAACTAGTTTGTTTACATTTTGTGTCAAGCGCCCAGTAGCTCTTGAATTGTTTTGCTTTGAAACACTCGTATACTCAGTGGTGTTTGTTTATTTACATATATTTTTGTTTTTTACACACTTTTCACTTGATTTGCCTTTGGGGGGTTTCGTGATTTTACACATTTTACTTTTAGGGCGTGTCACGTGTTGTTTGACAACACTTTTATTTTGTTTTGATGTATGCTTGTTGTGTGCCAGGGACACTTCTTGACCCTTACTTACTCGGTTCACTAATGGATTTTTGCTAACCATACAATTATGGTAGGATTTGATTTGCTAACCAGTTATGGTAGGACTTTGGAATTTGCTAACCATTGATTTTGGTAGGATTTATATTTGCTAACCATGACTTATGGTAGGATTAATTATAAATAGGTATATGTATCCTTCTTTGTGATTAACATGTGGTACCATTATGTACTCTTTGATTTTTTCTCTTCGTATTTAGTAACTTATGTAAACCTTTTCCATTGTCTGTGGGTCCTAAAATTATTTTTGGCTTCGCCAAAAAAATTTTTTTCACGATCATCGGAGGGATGTTGTGTAGCGAATTTAATTTATTAAGTGGTGGATGTTGTGTAGCAATTTAATTTAATTAAGTGGTTCATAAAAATCAAAATTTTAATTTGTAATTATTCAAAATTTGAGCTACACAAGTTTTGGTTATATTCTTTTTTTGGGCCTATAAATTCTAGTGTAATATATTTTGGCTTTCCGAGTTTACGCGAACTGCGTCTTCAATCTTGT